TGAACGTTAGATATTATCGTGTTAGGAGTTATAAATTATTATGTTATATAGATTATAATTTAACATGTTTGAAATATTGTAATATATTGTAGGTGTCATTGGAAGATTTTGTAGGAGATGGTATTGATTACAGTTCCGCTTTCAATACAACTACATTCTTTGTTAGTGATGAGGCCGCGATTAATGATGCAAAAAGTACGGCACTTCCGAATGGTTTCGATTTGACTATTTCGAAACACACAAAATGAGGAAGATTGAAAATCTTGAAGTGCAAACGAGGCAAACGTTATAGAGGCAAGAAGGTAGATGTTGTTTCTAGAAAATCGAAAACCAACAAGTGTCAGTGCCCTTTTGATATAAGAGTAAAGCGGGTGCCCGGAACGCAATTTTGGATGATCCACAAGTGTCAAAACGAAGAGAAGGGCTTCCACAATCATTCATTTGTTGTGTATCCCGAGGGCCATCGACAGTCGAGCGGCATCAGCCAGTCATCAAAGAAGATCATTCGTGATATGACTGTTGCGCAGTCGAGACCAGCAAATATTTTGGCCGCTGTCCAGGAAAAAAATCCAGGAGATCACGCGACTGTGCGACATATATATAACTATAGAGACATGTTGCGCAAGGAGAGTTTTGAGGGTAGAGACGTTACTACCCAGCTTGTACATTCGGCTAGGAGCAGCAGCTATATAGTTAATACATATGTCGATCCGGACACAAATGCCTTGACACACATATTCATGGCCCATCTTGATTCAGTCAGACTATTCCAGACATATTATTTGTATGTCAGCATAGGTTCCACCTACAAAACCAAGAGGTGTGTTAATTTATAAATACATTAATAGTATGAATTTAAATTAATATGTTCGATTAAATTTTATGTGATTATATTTTTTGGTCTCATTTGCACAGGTACAAGATGCCGTTGGTCGAGATGATTGGCATGACTCCGTGCAACAATAACTTCTTGATTGCGTACGCACTCATGAAGGACGAGAAAGAGGCCTGTTATGATTGGGTTCTCCATAAGCTGAGACTTCTGATAGGCTCTGGGTAAGAATAAAATATTTAATTTTTATTTAATTAGTAATAAAAGTATTTTGTGCAATATAGTAAAAATATTTCAGCAATTTTGCTCTGTCTCATTAAAATTTATGTATCCGCCGCTGCTCAGGTACATCCAAATTTGGTTGTCACTGACAGAGAGTTGGGCTTAATGACTCCGATTACGAGGAACTTTCCCCAGTTTGCCCACTTACTCTGCACGTGGCACATCAACAAGGATGTGGAAGACAGACTCTACATGCTGCTTGGAAAAAATAAAAAATTAGCTCAGAGTTTCTTGCGCGGTAGGTGGAAGGCGATTGCCGATGCCGGTACGGTTGATGAGTACGACACTGCCGTAGCACAATTGCGTGTCAAATACTGGAATCATGTAGAAGTGTTACATTATGTCGAGCAGACTTGGTTAGTCCATAAGGAGAAGTTCGTGAAAGCTTGGACTAACCGGGTAACACATCTTGGCAACACAACTTCATGTAGGGTGGAGAGTGCACACTCTGTTTTGAAGTCGTGGCTTCACACGTCGACCGGCGCGCTCGATACAGTGTGGCAGAATATTGGTGCGGAGATCCAGTCCCAGATGACTGGAATAAGGTACATTCCTTATTTTTAACTGTATTAGATCATCTCATATATATTAGAATTCTTGGTATTTCGTTTTATTTATAAAAATAAATATAATGTTTTGTAATATATTACCAGGACAACGCTTGAGTCTTCGAGACTTAGGAGTATACGGGGTTTACGGGATTCCCTTTCACGTGCTTGAAACTGAGGGTCTCGCATTACTATCTGGACATATTGAACTCTGAGCTGAAGAGGATGTGATACTTGAGCTATGAAGTTTACGAGCGCTGCGGTTGTGTATTTCTTACCACTCATGGAATTAATTGTGCCTGTACGCTTCGTACGGCATTTGATTCTGACCTTTCGGTTGAATTGAGTGATATCCACGATTTTTGGAAGACACTAGAGATGTTACAACCAGGTAATTTAAGGTTAATGTTTCATTTACAATTTTCTACTTTCTAATTCATTGTTAATTACAAATTAAAGAACATTTTGTTGTTAAATTCATTGAATTTTTTTACCGTACACACTTGTAGGGACAGATCACTAGAGCCAGTATAACCAGAGGCAGGATAAACAGAGTGTATGGACAGATGTTGATGTATTTCGGACGTTTGTCCAAGAGGTTGAAGAGGGAGATCCTGCGACGATTCGCTACATGAATCACCTCATGTACGCTCAGCTTTACCTGGAGCAACAAGAATATGCAGATTCTGAGGTTAAGGAAAATACGCGAGGTCTTCCCAAGAAAACTGATTCAACTAAGTGTAAACCATCGCGCTGGGAGTACAGGGACAATTCTAGAGGTTTTCCGGTGGGCCGTACAAGCACTTCTTCGCGCGGACAGAAAAACACTTCTTTGCGCGGAACGACAAACATTTCTTCGCGTGGACCCACAAGCAGCCAATCTTCTCAACCGTAACAAAAGGCACTACAAGGTGACATATTTTTTATTTTTTTACAACTGAACGTTAATTAAAGTGTTAATATAAATTATATTATATAAAGTGTGACGTAAAATTACTATTATGATGTTTCAGCTAGTTTGTCGACAGATATATTTGGTTTTGAATTCGTGAATAGTATTCCCTGGCATATGTTGGAGCACGTAGTGAGCTACTTGAACGTGAAAGCAGAGGGTAACTGTGGCTTTCGGGTTATAGCGAGTTACATTTATGTGGACCAGGAGATGTGGCAACTCGTACGAGAGAACCTTGCCAATGAGATTTACAGCCACCGTGAGTTGTACGAGTATATCTATTTCAGGGATATCGACCCCAACCTCTTTCGAATAAGGTGGGACGGGGGCCCTTGTGGACAACATCACTAAATGGATACTATATTCGACCTCTTCCTTGTTGCAACTCTAATTAATATGACTGTCATTTTGTTATGCTTTGTTCCTGGTGGTAAATAGTTTAACCAATTAAGTTGGACAATATTGCCGCTCTTTGTACCATCGACGGCTACACGACCATGACGTGAGATTGGGATCTGTCATCTTGGAGTATATGCATACTATATTCGTTTAGATTTGACTCCTGATTGTCCATTACCGCCTATTCATCCTTTCTGGTTTAGGTACCGAACTAATTCGGTTCAGGGTTGGGAGGATCAGTACCAGCGTAGGTTGCAATTGTGGTATGAGGAACAAAATATTCCTTGATGAATAAAAGACGAATATTATTCGGTTGTCATTATTATTTTTATTGTTATGGAATTGTGTGTAATG